GCTCTATTACTTTAGATGAATTGATCACATCAAACAGTACAGGACAGGGAAAGCCCAAGCTGACCCAGAGGAGGGGGCATTTTCCAGACAGACCTGTCAGTGAAAGCTTTTTCCAGAAATGTTACTTCCTGAGTCTATCTTTACCGCAGTCCTTATATTCATTGTTTAGAATTTGGAAATATCCCGATTGTCTCTTCTACTTTCTTTGTCAATTGGGGGGGAGGGGGGAAGTTAGGAATGAAACCCACCATTTTCCTCCAAATGCAAGCTGCTCATTTGTATCTCTGAACAGTTTTGTTTTATTTATGTCACAGTTTAAAGAACTTACTGAGTCCAATTATTGCTCAGTACACTGAAGTGGTTGGATTTCTTTCTCTTTATTCAGGCATGGTTATTGATTTCTTTGACAGTGTTTAGTATTAAAAGTTATAAATCTCCCTGCCGTTGAACCACTTCACCACAAATATCTGAGAAAGTAGAAACGTCGTGACTTTGTACAAGGAGGGACTCCCGGTGTTACCGTTGTTCAGTGACAAAACCCATGCTGTTTGAAAGAAGACATGTCACTAGTTTAAACCTGCATGCAATGGAAGTATTCAAACAAGCTTTAAAAAATATGATGCTGTTTTAAAAATATTTTTGTCACAAATCAAATGTCAGCTTTAAGTGCAATGTTTGTAGAGTGCCACTGTACTGTGTGATGTAACACATTAAAAAATAGAAATGCTGATGTATTTGGACCAGACAGCACTTTTTACTTAAAAGCCTATTTATTTGGAGGATACTTTTATAGTACCAGCAAGTCAGCAAGTCCAGTTAGAGAGTTCCACGTGCTCTACCTCTTGCTGCTTCTGTTTTCTTGCAATTTCCACTAATGTCATCTCAGACCAAGCCACCACTTGATTTTTTCTGGATGATAACAACACCCTACCGGTCTCCTTGCAGGCACACTTGGTCTCTTCACATTCTCTACACAGCTGCCAGGCTACTCACTTCATCTCTTCTGCATAAAACCTTGAAATGCCTTCCCATTTTTGTTATCAATTAGGGTTTGTCCAGGGAAATAAAGCAACTGTGAAATGGAACAAGCGATTTATGATAGGGATTAGACCGTTTATAGTAGTGGGAGAAGTTTGGGAAATAAACTGAAAGTCAATGAACCAAAAATCAATTTGCAAATTTGACCATCGCATCTAAAATTGTAAGTCTAGTACCTTCAACCAGGTCTAGAGCCGGGTGCAGTAGAGACAGGGGCAGGAGAAGGGCGTATGTCTGTGGAATAAGAAGGACAACATAATGCATTTAAGAGAAACTCCACTCATGCACATATAAGATATCCAGAGTTCTGGAAGTCCTATCCTCTGAAATGGGAAATGTTACTGAGAAGTATATTCAACATAGGTATACAGAATAATCTTGAGCATAATGGTTAGGGTGAAATAGCTGTGGTGAAATCTCAGTGAAACTAAACTAAAATTTCCCCCAAACTACCCTCCTCCACACTAAATCTCCAATACTTAGGCAAATTTTCTAAATGTTTTATGTCTCAGCCCTTCTGTGGCTTAGAACACCTGAAACTGGGTAATGTATAAAGAAATAAATTTTATTGCTTACAGTTTCAGAGGCTGGGATGTCCAAAGTCCAGGGAACACATCTGATGAGGGCCTTCTTTGGTGGTGACTCTACAGTGATGCAGGGTATCACATGGTGAAGGACTTAAGCAGGAGAGAGCTAACCTGGTCACTCTCCTTATAAAGCCATCAGAACCACACCCATAACCACCCTTTAAACCATAAACTTATTACTCCATGAATGAATCAATCCATTCACTAGGGCATGGTCCTGACAATCTGATCACCTCTTAAAGGTCCCATCTTTTTCAATTACCATGATAGAATTTCCCACCCCAACACTGTTACAGTGGGGATTAATGCATGAGCATTTGGGGGACACAATTCAACCCATAGCATTTTATAGAAGTTAATTTATGCATATATTTTAAAAATAGCTAAATCCTACATATTGTCTCTGGTTTCCAACTGTGCTGTAGTACTGTTCTCTGATTCTTTTTCTCTTCCCTCCCCCCCCCTTTTTTTTTTTTGGTCTTTAAATTCCCATGTCCTTTAAAAAAAAAAAGTCCCATGTCCTTTTTTGATTGTAGACCCAGCAGAATTAGAAGGGATATTTCCTTTAGCCGGTTTGTAATCATGTGGCTGACTGGTTGCTGCAGCTCGATGCCGCAGCCCAGTATCACAAGAGAATATTGTACCACATATGCTTGCCCAGGAAAAAAATCAAAATTCAGAATCTGAAGTACGGTTTCTACTGAATGCGTATCAATTTCACACCATTGTAAAGCAGAAAAATCCTAAGTTGAACCATTGTAAATTGGGACCATCTGTACAACAGAGTTTTTGGCAAATGTGTTTCTAGCTCAGCTATCCCTTTCCCCACTAGCTTCTGTGCAAGTATGTGCAATGCTGAAGCTTTACATGCATGTTCTGAAAAATCCGGTAGCCTGCTTTTTGGTTGGTGGCCACCCTGGTCTGTACAGTTGTGTATAGCTGCTCTCAGTATTCAGTACTTTGCTCCTTGTTCTGTGACTCTCATCTCTATGGTGGGAGCCCATGAGTAGCCCGTGGCCTGTCTATGGAGAGGAGAGCCACTTTCAGGCAGAATGCAGGTGACAAAGGGCCCCTGGCTGCACAGGAACCATCAGTCCTGGATCCATCCTTTACCCCACTCAAACACATAAGAGTATTCCAGCTTAGAGAAGTGTTGGCTACAGTTTGTTCTTTAACCTTTCCTTATCCTTTGAGTGTGGGTTACATTGTGTGTGATCATAGGAAGTGCCAACCAGTTCTGCCTGAGAGCATTAGAGGAATTTCCCAGAAGGGATGACATTTCTTAAGTGATCTTTTTCACAAAGACTCACAGCTTGTGAGCATGAAACATACCAACATTGCTCTTTCAAATATACATCAATTAAGTATGCAGTTTGGTACTTTTCTAGTAAAAGTGATAGTGTTTTATCAAGTTATCCCAGTTTCTGCCCCTCTGTGACTCTCTGAAACACATCTGTAAGACCATCAGCCAGAAGGCAGGAAACAGCAAATTAACCCATATGGAAGATTGAATCTATTATTAATGTTGCTGTGACTTCATCAACTGAAAGAACAAACTACATATCCCTTGCTCTCAGTAACAAGGAATAAGGCATTAAAACAGTCTCTAGATGTCATCAATGAAAAGTAATGCCCTATGTAACGACTGGCAACTACAAAGTGATTTTCTGAACAGATGTCATCTTCTTTCATCAGACCTGCTGTTGAAAGCTTGACTTGCAGAAGAGCACTATCAAACAAAACCCAGTGGCCACGTTAGCAATAAGTCCCAAAGTTCTCTTTCAAAAAGTCTAGATTCATCATCTATGCATTGTGGGCCAATATCTCTCACCCCTGCCCCCAAACACCTGAGTTCAAGATCATTGCAGTGGCTTGATGTAAATTGGCCTATAATTCTGTAACCCTCTGACTTCTGACTTTGTTTTCACCTTGTCCTTTGTATGTCCTATACCCATTGCAGATTTTTCCATTGCTCCCCAAAATCATCTTTCTTTTAATGGACCACTGCCTCTGCAAAGTAATAGCCTAGGAAATACATAATAGTTCCTAGAACCAGTGCACCAAAGCTACCCTTTGCTGAATGTGGGCTGTGCGCCAAATATTTTCACAGGTAAAAATACCTGTGGCGTCTAATTTAATTTAATTCTTATGACAACTTATGAAATGGGTATTGTTATTCTAACTTACAGATGAGAAAACTGATGCTCGGGAGGTCAGGCAAGGGCTTCAAAGGGATGTGGGGGGAAATAATGATTTTGAAGTAATCTTTTGAAGGAACAATTTGAGAGCTTGGAAAGACTCTCTTTTCTTTGGTTCCCAGTTGATTTTTGCCACTGTCCACTGAATGTGTCCGGCTGGCGGTCAGTGTGGAACTCTATTTCTGGCAGCAGTGATTTTGCTCTTGGACATGTAGGTGTTTGTCGTGACTACTTTCGGCAGTGCCTTCTTTACAAGTCACATGCCTTCATTTAGGAAATGTACTTTCCGATGGAAATGCTGGAATAAAGTTCTTGTCGTCATGGAAGGAAATTTGGTGAATACTTGATTTGTGTTGCAAATGAAAGTAAACAGAGGATAAACACAGAGGTTTTGCTCTTTTTAGAGACAGCAGATTTCAGTTTCAGTAAATCACAGTCGCTTTCATTATGACTAAGAATTTTTGCTTTTAAGTATTTTTGAAGTGTGCTTTTCTGACTGTGTGCCCTGGACAATAAAACATCTCAAGTGGAGAGGTTTGTTTGTTTTTGTTTTTTCATGGTTAAACCTACATGGGCTCCCCCCTTTGTTTTTGGGGGCATATCTGTGAAATCATGCAGGTGAGAGACCTTGTCATGTGCTTCCTTATAGCTACAGTTTCTGGACACATTGTGGACCTTCATCAAAAATTTGCTCACTTGAGTAGCAAATGAATAGTGGAATAATTAGTAGCCTCAGTATATTTAGTTTAGTTGAAAAATGACAAATGACAGTACTGAGGTATGGCTGGTTTTGATGTAAGTTATTGATTATGAGAGTTTTTTTAATGAACATTATTGTTGAATTATCCAAAAAACATAGCTATGACTAATGAGATAAAATTAAATAAAAGAAAAATGTGAACTGAATATCAAGAAATATTTCCAGTAGATGAGGCTGAGACTAAATGAGGCATAGGAGTCCCAGTGGAAGTGGTGGGGACATTTAACATCACACATGTCACTGAGAGCAGTGGTGGGGACAAACTGACTTTGGCAGGATGATAACTGAGACTATATTTCTAGTTTCATTGATTCTCTTTCTTACATGGGTATCCTCTCACAGCCTCCCACCCCTTATGGACAGGATGTACATGTGTATTAAATTTTCTGACTTTTGCTTTCTTTTTTCCAGAAAACACTCATTTTTGAGCATCTCCTGGTAGTACCATCAAAAATGTCTTGCTTACGTGGGAAAGTCCAGACTGTTCTGGGCCTCGTGGAGCCAAGCAAACTGGGCCGTACCCTTACCCATGAACATTTGACAATGACCTTTGACTGCTGTTTCTACCCACCTCCTCCATGCCATGAAGCTATCTCTAAGGAACCTATCATGATGAAAAATTTATTTTGGATTCAGAGAAACCCTTATTCCCATAAAGAGAACCTACAGTTGAATCAAGAGACAGAAGCCATAAAGGAAGAATTGTTGTATTTTAAAGCTCAGGGTGGAGGAGCTTTGGTAGAGAACACGACCTCTGGAATTAGCCGAGATGTGCAGACATTGAAGTGGCTTGCCGAAGAGACTGGTGTCCATATCATATCTGGAGCTGGGTTTTATGTGGATGCAACTCACTCTTCAGAGACCAGAGCCATGTCAGTGGAACAGGTAGAAAGACCTAAGTTCTCTGATGATATTTGTCTGTAAATTCAGAATAGCCAGAACTTTGGAAAGGCCATTAGGTCAGAGGTAACTGGGCATGCTACAGAAATTTGCTAGCCAGAGAAGACATCTGCCAATCAGGACTCAAATTGTAACTTTCATTTCATAAAGAAAAAAGTGTCCAGAAAGGATATCTCAATGTACTGGCCATTGAAAAACCTATTTGTTGATACTCAGATTTCTATATATCTTATTGGGGCTCAGTAGTGGTACCAATATGTTTGCAAACCTCACTTTTCCATTATAAGCTTCAGTTATGCAACTTGGATTTTTTTCTCCTGGATTTTATAATAACCAGCAATAAAAATTCACTGTAGGGTGAAACTTGGCAGGCAGACACTTGGCACATTTGCAAATATGTTTCCTTCTCCTTTTACAAAACAGGAGACGTGGAAGAAAATCCATTCTCCTGTTTTTGTCATATGATCTTAAGCAAGAATTGGCAGAAGGAAGTCTATCTTTGGGGAACAAAAATGAAGAATAAGCTGCAAAGCGTTTTAACACATATATGTGCTTTCTTTCTATACGTGTTCATACATTTCTCCTGTTTTTGTCATATGATCTTAAGCAAGAATTGGCAGAAGGAAGTCTATCTTTGGGGGACAAAAATGAAGAATAAGCTGCAAAGCGTTTTAACACATATATGTGCTTTCTTTCTATACGTGTTCATACATATATCTATATGTTTATATGTATCTTCCATTGCCTGTTTGATAGACATAGAATGTCAGCTGCAGTTTTTGCAAAGGATCAGTTAATTTTAAAATATTTTGTGTTTCAAATCACTCATAACTGGCTCCTAGGAAAAAAGGGAGGGAGAGAGGGAGGAAGGAAGGAAGGAAGGAAGGAAAGGAAAGGAGGAAAGAAAAGACCACAGCAATACACTGAGCTATCAGGAGAGAACGAACTTGAGGATACTAGAGATGGGGGGAGAGAGGGAGGGGGCTTGGGAAGTGATAGGTCAGGCGAAGGGCATAAAGAAATATCACAATTTGTAAGAATGAATATGCTAATAGTAAATTTAAAAATTAAAATAAAAAATAAAATAAAGAAAAAAGTTTCATTTGCATTATTTTCCAATCAGGACTTGTGTATGTATGTATGTATGTATGTATGTATGTATGTATGTATGTATGTATGTATGTATGTATGTATGTATGTATGTATGTATGTATGTATGTATGTATGTATGTATGTATGTATGTATGTATGTATGTATGTATGTATGTATGTATGTATGTATGTATGTATGTATGTATGTATGTATGTATGTATGTATGTATGTATGTATGTATGTATGTATGTATGTATGTATGTATGTATGTATGTATGTATGTATGTATGTATGTATGTATGTATGTATGTATGTATGTATGTATGTATGTATGTATGTATGTATGTATGTATGTTATTTGAGAACTATGCTGATGATGGGGAATTTACATTCTTCCAACCACTCTTAGCAGTAAATATACATATGACCTAAAATGTGTAATATTCGTGCTATGTGCTGTGAATTTGCTATGCTGAGTAGGGTAAAGGACTGCATAAATAAGAGAGAGCTGAAGAATTATTTGATATAGTTGACATGGATTTAGTGGCAGTCTTTCCATGTTCTAGATGCTGTTCCCCAGGTTAAATTATAGAATTTTTTTCCCAGTCTGAACGTACTTTCATTAAGTCACTTTTCCCCCTACAGCACCTTTAAAGCTGCAATTTTTTTTTTTTAAATCATCGCAGGAAGATATTATTGAATCCTGGATTTAGCATAACTTGTTGAATTTGCACTTTGGCCAGCAACATGCCTTTCTCGTTGGCCAATATTAATTGAATGAGTGTTGAATACATTTTTAAAAGAATGAATGACTTAATTTATTCACATACTGTGGTTAATCTATTTTGATAAATTACACAGTCTATAAAATATGTTTATTGTCACTCTTCCTTAGCTTACTGATGTCCTTATTCATGAAATTCTGCATGGAGCTGATGGAACCGGTATCAAGTGTGGTGTTATTGGTGAAATTGGCTGCTCCTGGCCTTTGACTGACAGTGAAAGAAAGGTTCTTCAGGCAACGGCTCATGCCCAGGCTCAGCTTGGCTGTCCTGTTATTATCCATCCTGGACGGAATCCAAGTGCACCATTTCAAATTATCCGAGTATTGCAAGAAGCAGGTGCAGACATCTCCAAAACAGTTATGTCACACCTTGATAGGTAAGCAAGCTATCTTACAAATTGGTGCAAGCCACCATATGATTCATGGATGATCCAATAAAAAATACCAGCAGTAATCAAATCAGTAAAATACTAATCACCTAGAGAAAGCTACTAACTACATGAAAGATAGTATTTATAAAGTTCACAACTGACATTAATAAAAGTCAGTGCTACCATTTGGTGTCCCTACTGTGTGTAAGATAGTACTCCAGGTATTTTGCATAAGGCATTTCCTTTAATTTACATAATCCTTTATAACTCTTCACAGGAGGTGTCACCGTCTACTTCACTTATTGTCTGTTGGTGTGATATCACAGTAGCTGACAATTTCACTTGCTCAGTATTTGCCAGTAGTAGGAATGATAAATTTATCTGTAGATAGAAAAGGAGGGAAAGTCAATGGTTTCACACTGAGAAGAAAATCACAAATACACATATTCATGTTTGTGTCACTTGTTGTGATTTGGAATCATCTGAATTTTGGAAAATGCTATCAAAAAGAATAATAGGAATAAGTGTAGTATTTGTTTGGTGGTATTATGTATTAGTTTCCTATGTCTGCTGTAACAACTTATAACCCTAAAGCAACAGACAGTTATTCTCTCACAGTTCTGGAGGCCAGACAAGTGAAATCAGGTATTGGCAAGAACACTCTTCCTCCAAAGGCTGTAGGGGAAAATCCCTCTCTGCTTGTTCATTTCTGGGAGATCCAGGTTTTCCTTGGTTTGTAGCTGCATCATTACGGTTTCTACCTCTGTCTTTATATAGCTTTCTTTTCTCTGTGTCTTCTATTTCTCATAAGGGCATTTGTCATTGGATTTAGGGCTGACGCAGATAATCCATAATGATCTCATCTCAAAATCCTTAATTTAATTATATCTGCAAGGATCTTTTCCCCAGATAAGGTCTAAGGGTTAGAACATGGACATATCTTATTGGGGTCCATCATTCAACTCCCTAAATATTACATTAGATGCATAAGGGCCAGCAAAACAAATGACTATATAGATAGATGTTAGCTGTTCTTAATTTTATGAATAAGTTTAACAATGTTGCTAAGGCTCATCATCAGTCTTTAGATTGAATTTATTAAATAATTAATACAGTACCAATGAGACTAATAACATATTACAGTTACTTCTATCTTGCATATCAGAATAGAGCCATATTAACAAATGGATAAATCCTGATCATCAGACCTGACATTCTGTTATTCAATAAACTAACAGTCCTACAGAGTATATTAAAACACTGCTTCTTCTTAATAGAAATGTTGTAAAATTCTATTTCACAGAAAAAAATAAACAAGTTGTAGTTATGTGCAGAACAGAGAAGCCAATATTAAAGGGAAAACAGGAACATCAAAGTAAAGTAGATTCCAACAACTGGGACGGTATCAAGATCAGTACTTGGCTATCTTCAGGAACCTTCTGGTTGTACTGATAAAATAGAGGGGTGTTTCTAGACACTGGTCATAGAGGTAGTGCATCAGAATGTGAAGACTTGAGTCTTTGGGTCCACACAGATCTTTAAATCCTGACTCTACCATTTGCTGTGAGATATTGAGAGGCTTCCTTTGAATTGAAAACAATGTATTTGATAAAATTGCCTTGTATGATATAGAATATATGTAACATATTTATTAAATAAGGATGATATCTTTTAAACATGGTGAAGTATGTCATACATACAAAAGGGTATAACCCTAGTTTATACTTTTTAATTTTATGGATGTTTCTTATACCCTTGAAAACATTGCGTTCTGCAGTTATAAATGTGTTCTATATCTGTCCATTAGACTACAATTGTTAATCATGTTGTTCAAATATTCTGTATTTCTACCGATTTTTTTTGACTGTTCAACCTATTGATTATTGAGAAGTACATATTAATATCTATCTTGGTGGCTTTTTAGTTTTTTCTTGTACATATTTCAACTTTTGCTTTATATATTTTGAAGCTATGATATTGCAAGCATATAAATGATCAATTTTCCTAGATCTTATATATCAACATATATTGAGCTGCTTTACATCTAGTAATGTGAGTGATGCTTTTTGTTTTAGTGGCTGTTTTATCCAAAATCAATGTATCTATATATTTTTGCATTAGTATCGCACTTACATTTTTCCCCAAATTTTACCTTCCAACTTTCAGAATTTTTATAGTCTAGATATGTCTTGTATAAAATGCATGTGGCTAGTTTTGGGTTTACTAGTCAGATATTCTCTGTCTTTTAAATGCATTCAGTTTATTTACATCGACTGTGCTTACTAATATACTTGTTTTATTTTTTTGCCATAGTTATCATTTTCCCTTCTTGATTTCTTTTTATTATTTTCCCTCCTTATTCTATCTTCCCCTTTATTTCTTTGGAATGTGTATATGCTATTTCTATTATTTTAATGTTTATAATAGAAAATTTAACATGTATATTTAACTTACAAATTTTAAATCTAGTAAATGTTTTTACCATCCTTCCTAGTAATACAAGGAGCTTGGGATCTTTCAGCTCCAATCACTCACCCTCTAAGTTACATGCTAATTTTCTCAGAATATTGAGTCTACTTGCTTTTTTTAAAATCTCAATGATCATAATCAGACATTATTTTGTTGTTATAAAACATATAAATGGTTGATGTTTATTTAGATTATCCTTCCCGTTTGCTATGTTCTTTTCTCTCTGTTCCCTTTTGCATCTCAGGTCTTTCTTCTGTGATTATTATTTTTTTCCTCGGGTACATCATTTAAAGTCCCTTTAGTGAGGGTCTATGTTGGAAGTAAATGTTTAGATTTTCTTTGTCTGAAAATGTCTTTATTTCTTAATTTATAATAGATAATTTAACAGAATTTATTAATTTGAATAGACAATTCTATTTAACATAGATTTATTTTTTCTAAGCCCTTTAAAGATCTTCCATTTTCAACTGACATACATTGTTGCTATTGATAAGTCAGTTGAAACTAATTGTCCTTCCTTTGAAGTAATCCATCTTTTCTTTCTGGATATTTTTAACGTCATTGTCTCTGGTATTCTGCATTTTCACTATGATCTCTCCCAGTGTGAATTTCTTTTTATTGTGTGTTTGGCATTCCTTGGGATTCCTGAATGTAAGGATATGTCTTTCATTGTTTCTGAAAAACCTCAGACATTGTCTCTTCAAATATTGCTTCATTCACAGGTTCTTTTTTATTTGTACCACAAACTTCAATTTCATATATGTACAGTCTTCTTACCCATCCTCCATCTCTCTTAACATCTTTTCTATCTTTTCATCCATTTGCATCTTTGAGCCGTAATTTCTTCAGTTCTGTCTTTCTATGTACTAATTCTCTTTCTGGCAGAATCAGTCTGTTGCTTAGCCTATCTATTTGGTTTATAATATGCAGAATGATAGTTTTTCTTTTGTTTATTAAATTCTACTTGGTTACTTTTCAAATATGCTTGGTTAATTTTGACAATTTCTTTTCCCTTCAGCATGTTTTTAGTTCAATCTTTAAAAATATTAAACATACCACATTTAGCTTGTAATTCACGGATCTAATTTCTGCTATCTTTTTTTTTTTTTTGCTTTTTGTTGGTTCTTCTGGCTTTCATTCATATGAGGTTATTTCCTTGCATTTTAAAATAAAATTTTTTGTTGTGAGCTCAGATTTCTTGGAAATTACTGATTGCTGGCTTTCCCCCTCCCTGCCCCCCTGGTTTTTTGTTTGTTTTATTTGTTTCTGGTAGGCAGTAAGGGCCACTACCAATCTGGGACTACTTTAAACTAACTTTTTTAATTTAAAATTTTTTTAATTGTGGTAAAATACACATAACATAAAATTTACCATCTTAAACATTTTGAAATGTGCAGTTTAGTAGTGTTAAGTACATTTACTCCCCCTAGCATGTGGCAACCACCATTCTATTTTCCATCTCTATGAGTTTGACTACTTTAGATACCTTATATAAGTGGAATCACACAAAGTTTTCTGTGACTGGTTAAATTTTACACTTGAGGGGTTTAGACCCACACAGATGCTATGAATTCCGGCCCCTAAACTCAGCAAATACAGGCTTATGGTTGTGGATTCTCAGGGAGACTTTTTCCCTCAACTTACCTTCCTTTCACCAGAAAACAAGATGAGAAAGACATATAATCTCCAAAAACTCTGTGGACCAAATTTTTACCTAGTTCATTCATAAGGGTGTTGCCCTTGGGTCAGGGGGCTATTCTCTTTGTATGTCTCCAAATTGATCTCCCACCCTGTTCAGGCCCAAGCTTTATTTCACTCAGCTCATTAAAACCCTCCAAGCAAATGCTAGCTCTGGGTTTCCCCTTACTCCTCATTTTCTTAGCTGTCTTGTTTCTGTCCCCCTGAGCAAGTCTCACTTTCCCACGAGCTCAACCAAGTATTTAAAAATATGATTTTTTTTCTCTTCAATTTTATTTAGCATTTTACATGTACTGTGCTGGAAAGGTTTTCTGTGAACATTTAGTCTGCCATATTGCTTGAAACTGGCTCAAGATGCTTCTGAAAGAAGAATCTTCCTATCCCTATCTATTTACAGTTAGACATGTACATTAGTTAGAAAATTATGCTTGGCATGAATAGAAAATAAGCTTTCATTGGAAAAATGAAAACCTTAACTCATACCACAGTAGTATTTCCTTGCTTATAAAATCAAACAATACATAAAATGAAATGTTTCCTTTATTTCCTAGTGATACACATATATGTATACAGTATATCTATAAACACATATATACATATATGTATTAGGTATACACACACACAGGTATATATTTTTTTCTCTAAAACAGTAAAGAGATCTTACTTGGTTTCAACGGGCTGCAATTTCAGTGTATCTCTCTAGAATGATTCAGAATTGAATAGAAAGGTTGACCTGACATCAGACAAACTCAGAGCATCCTAGAAAATCCTAAGACCATTGCTAGAGCAGTCACCCACTCAGTATCTATGTTATGGGATTATTCAGGGTTTCAGTGCCT